TTCTCCAGATGTGCAGGTGAATGGATGGGACTCTGGGGAAACTGGGGATGTTTGCTCTGGGGAAACGGGCGCAAGAGCCCTCTTTGAATCGTGGGAGAGTGGGGGTCTTTTATTGAGTCCTCAGTCTGCTCTGTGGGTAGGTAGGTAGGTATGAAGGCACCTGCCCTACCGATGCATGGTCGAGAAAGAGTAGCGCTGTTGTATCTGCTCCAGGGGGGGGAGGCGAGGCGGCGCCGCGGCGTCGGAGAGGAGGGGGCATCTGGCAGCCGGACATCGAGGGCAAGAGAGACAGAGAGAAGACGGGAAAAGTGTGGGTGGGCCGCACCCACTGAGATCCCTCTCTACGAAAGGTAGGTAAAGGTACCTACCTACCTAACTACCTTTTCTTGTACAATGGGCACATCCTCGACAGTTGGGGCAGGTTACTCCCGCCCGTGCTGGCTTACTGGGTCGTGCCTTGCTCCAGGGGCCCCTAGCTGGCCGGTTTCTTGCCTTGATTGCCCTAGCTGTACTGGGGCTTTCGGGCTGGGGCTGGGGTACAGGGGACAAGGGAGGCGCCATGGCTACTCGCTCGCCTTCGCCTGTCCTGCCCATCTTGGCCCCGACGTCCCATCTGGCCGCCGCCCAGCCCCGACTCGTTGCCCTTGCGACCTTGGCCCGAACGAGACAGAACAGGTAGCCCAGGTCAGCATGTCCAGGATCGCCGAAGAGGCAGCTCCATCGACCAGTTGCTGTCGCTCGCGTGCCCTTCCAGCCTTGCGTGGCCTGGACGAACAGGGACGTCGCGCTCCATCGGTTTCCTCGACCAATTCCAAACACCAATTCAACGACAGCGCATAGGTGGTCGTGTGGACCAACATCGACTCCATCCGTCGCAAGACATCCAGGGATCCAACATGCCATGATGGGATGTCCCCGGCTCGTCGCCCACGCCGCCACTAGCCCACCCACCACCATCATCGAATGTCCCTTGCCGAGAACGCGCCCCGCCGCCTGTCTGTGCTGCCCGATGGTGAGCCCCTGCCGGCTGCGTCTTTCGATAGTCGCCGATTGCCCGACGGGACGGTACAGTATCCTACATTTGTCCGTCGCGGGGCGACGAGCACCCCTTTCCGCGCTTCTAATAGTGGAAAGGCTAGTAAACAGTACTGACAAGTTCTATAACACGCGATAGCTGCCACAGACAGCATGCTGCCGCGCCCTCTCCTCTGGCTTCACACGCTCTACGCAGCAATTGCGTACAGGCGAGTGCTGTGCTAGTGAGTGGCGCGTAGTTGATATTGATATTCTATGACCAGGCCATACAG